CTCCACGCGCTGAGCTCGAAGACGCTCCGCGAGCTGCTGTTTCCGCTCCCGCAGCGCCTGCTCCTGCGCGGACTGCACCTCCCGTTGCTTCTCCATCCGCCGTCGCCGTCGCTCCTCGAGTTCGGATGGCGGCTGAGGCTGCGCTTCGGCCTGTCGGGCGGGGCTAGGGGGCTCCTGGCCAAGCGCGGGCAGGACGAGGTTGGGCTGGTGCCGTGCCAGTTGCAACTGTGCCTGCAGCTTCATCAACGCGCCCTGAAGGAAGGGCCGTTGCAGGATCTGCCCCACGTTGGGTCGTCGTGCGGGGTTGATATCGAGCGTGGTTGAGACGGTTTGTGCCAATTCCGCCGAGTACGTCGAGTGGATCGGGGGGTAGACACCTTTGAGAATCTTCTGCACCAGTGCCTTCATGTTGGTCCCGTCAAAGGCGTGGTTGAGGGTAATCATCTCATACAAAACACAGCCCAGGGCCCAGACATCACTTTTGTTGTTGTAGGGCCTATTCAAGCAAAGTTCGGGGGAAAAGTAGTACGGCGTGCCACACACCGTCCGTTTTAATTCGCACGTGTTTCGCAGCACAGTGCTGATGCCAAAGTCACCGAGTTTGACAATTCCATCGCGCGTTAAGAACACATTCTGAGTTTTTAGATCTCGGTGCAGAACACGGTTTTCGTGCAGGTAATTCAAGGCTAAACACAACTGACCAAAGTAGTGGAGCACCTCTTGCTCGGAAAATAGTCGCCCACGACGGTCTTTAATTTTCTTATACATATCCCCATCGTCAGCGTACTCCATAACTATGTATAGAGATCCTTGGTGCTCAAAATGATCCACGTATTTGGTAATATTAGGATGCTTCAACGTACGGAGCACAACAATTTCGTGCTTTGCACTTTCTCTTTCCTGAGGCTTCAAACCAGCCAGACGAACCTCCTTCGCGACTAATTGTTCATTATCAGACTTTCGTTGAATAAGCCATGCAGCGCCAAAGCTACCTTTCCCTAGCATCTTTAGCTGCTTGTATTTTTCCATCGCGCCTTTTTTTTATTTTGAAAGTACAATACAGTTTTTTCCAACAAACCTTAATGCACTTTAGTCAAAACTGCCGTCAAGACAAACCCTTCAATCGAAGTCTTTGGAAAATGGATAAAAAAGCAGATTGATTATATACAATATTGAAGGCTAAAGAATAAAAAACTACCTAGAGTAAGCAAATACCTTTATCTATGTGGTTGCTGTATAGTAATGAACTGAAGTTTAATTTACATTCAATATGATGCGATTTTTTACGATGCGGAATAATGTTATCTTCTTTTTACTCGTGTACCTTTCACTTGTAAAAGAGGAAAAAAAAAAGTAGAAAATGCCTTTTGAATCTGTGTATCCTATACATCCCAAGGAAAAGCAGCGTTCATAAAAATGTAATAGTAATAGGGTTAAGAAAGAATCACAATGCTAGATCTCACTTCTCCAATTAGCTAATAATGACTAAATCGTAGTATTTCATTTTCACATTCTTGAGATAACAACACTCTTTTTTTGTATAATCTAGTATATCTTTGATCCATCGTATCACATTGAATGGAAAATAACAATGAAAAAAATCATGCTCTAAAACCACAGCGTTAACATCTACAAAAGGGATATTTCACAAGAATTCACATAATAGTAATATTAATGGTGATTATTCATAAAGTAACCCATAACAATCAAGCGTGAGTGTATTCAGATACATATACAAGCAACCTCAATAATCCCTACCAATACCTCATTTACATCTTTTCACCTCCTCTCAGTCTTCACAGCTCCTCATTGTTTTCTTTTATTCACACTACATATATCTACCACTATATATGTTTATAACTATCAGTTGTTTCTAATACAACAAATAAACACATATCCTATATTCATATGATAGTTTCCTCCTAAAAGTTATTTCTTCCTTTTTTTTGTACCTCATTTTCAAAATCCAAGCAAATCACTTCGACTTATCATCTTATTACGCCAGATTTTCAGGACCGATTAGCATTCGTACCATTCCCTCAATTGCACGATCGTTTGTAAAGATAGTCTGTTGAAGATGACCTGTTTTCAATATCTGATCACTGATCTCATCCTCAATGCTTTGCAGCTTCACCTGTACGGCTTGAACGCTTTCCTCCGTCTGCTGTTGCGCTTCCATGGCGGCAAGCGCCTGGTTACGGGCTTCACTACGCCATGTCTCGAGCTCCCTTGTCATGCTGTCGATGTCATCATGAATGGCCTCTAAAAACTTTCCAAGCGGGTTTGAAGCCTTTGTGAGGAGCTGCAGGTTCTCTCGCAGTTTGGTCAGATCAGCTTCATTCATCACGGCCCCACTCCCGGCACCAGTCGCGTGCATTCCTGTGCGATTGTTGCTTCGGATAATGATGCCACCATCGCTGTTTAGCGCCGACTGCACGGCGGCCTCACGCGCTTTACGCGCCTCCTCCTGATCAAGCTTTGCCTGCATCGCCTTCCGCGCAATATGCCCTCTCACCTCCATATCCTCGACACCATCTGCAGAGGACAGATGCATTGGCCTTGCCTCGGCCTTTTCGACGATATTCATCCAATCCTCCTCGCTTGCTGAGTCTTCCGCTGTGCCTTTTTCCGCCGGCCTCAACTCGGGAATAATCCCCGCGGCGACGTTGCTCGCCGTTGGCGTCGCCACCGCGTCGGTTGTGGGGATCACCTCGTGCGTTGGCTTTGCCTTCGGTGGGGCCTTCCCCGCCGTCATCGTCTGCTGTTGAGAAGGCCGCTCCGAGCCGTTGGTGTGGTTGCTGCTGAAGGAGTGGTGCCGTGGCGCGACCTGTGGTGAGCGCAGCCCCTTCTTTTCCCCTTCCCCCCCGCGCTCGATCCGCTCCTGAGGGCTCTCCGCGGACTCCTCCTTGACCTCCGCGGGGGACAGCCGTTGAGGATCGGGGTTGGCCAAGACCCCGACTTCCTCCGGCCGTAGCTTCGAGGTGCGTGTCTTTCGCCTTTCCATCAAGGGCACGGGGGCGGGGGTAGGGGTGGGGGTGGAGGGGTGTGACGGGGAGAAAGGCTGAGTAGTCGTGGGAGGCCGAGAAGAAAGAGAGGACTGAGAAGAGGGGGGAGGCTGAGAAAAGGGGGAAGACTGAGACGGCT